TGTTCTTGTGGCACACACTCTCTTTACCAGCTCCTCACGGACTGTGGTAGGGAGGTTTTGCTAACGTACCTTACAAACACTAAGGTAAAGACTATGCTGGGAAAGGGCAGGTGAAGGGAGGAAGGAGGAGGAAGAGCTTATTTTTTATTTCAATTCTTTTTTTTTTTTGTTCACGTAGCAGGAAAGGGTCACATGCTGCCATGAGCATCAGTCCACATTGTCACATGACCAAGGTCACGAATCACATGACTGAGCCAACAGTCCAGACACCAAATAACACCGAAAAAAAAAGCAGCCTCCGAGAGCAGGAGAGAGGGGGAAAGGGAGAGAGACGGGGAGAGGAGGAGAGGACTGGGTGTCAGAAGACAGAACCCCGGGAATGGTACTGGCGCAAGAGCTCGCTTGCATTATTAACCCATTAATTAAATGGATTTAACAGCCCGCAGGTGCTGAAATGCATGAAAATCAAAATAAAAGAAAGACGGGAGAGAGGGAGAGAAAGAGCGAATGCTCTACCGTGAGAATGTTCTGCAGAGATGCCAAGACTTTAATGAATATTCATCACCCCTTCCCTGCCTGTTATGAGCCTTCTTGGCTTGGAAGAGTGCCAACTTCATTTGCATGCTCTCCTTTGTTAATGACTAAATCAGCACCGCTCCGCACTGCTCCTGGGCTGTGGCTGGGCGCACTCTGCTCCGTCTCTTTCTCTCTCTCTCTCGCGCGCGCACACTCGCAGACAGACCGCGGGTACCGTGCGATTCAGCTCACCCGCGCCCTTGCTTGCACAAAACAATTCCCTGGCATGTTACCGGAGACAGACAAATCCTCCATTGTGTCTGCGCCCGGGAGAAGCACACCTCCTCCTCACCAGTGCCCTTGCCCCTCTCACCCCTGTACAGGCACTGGAGTTCCTGAATGCTGTTTTTTTTTTTTTCCCCCGCAGCAGCAATTAAAACCCCACGCTAATAACAGAGAGCTGTTGCTGCTTTTTGTCAAAAGGCACCGCAACAAACACAAGTGAAAAAAAAAAAACCCACAAGACTATGCTGTTTTGATTTTCAGAACTTACAAGGATCGGTTTTATTAAACTGCAGTAAAAAAACTGAAGACATTTGATCCTGGTTCTACTATGACAGGAAAATTCCCATACGTTTCCTGTTGTTCTCCAACGTGGTCTATTTTGGTGTTTGTTCTGAGGAAGCGTACAGTTGGGGTATGTTACTGAATCTTCGCCGGCCAGCGCAGGTCGAGGCGCGAAACCCTGCGATAAACTGCTTCCCTCTCTATTAGCTGAAGCAATGCGACAGGTTCAAAAAGCGCCACGCTCCAATCAGTGAACTGCTAATTGCTCGGATTAGCCGATAAATATAATTTGGGGTTTCGCTGGAAAATCGAAACCCGCAAGAGTGGTCCCAATGCACTAACACCCCCCCACACACACACACACACGCAGACCACAGTCTCGCTCATTGAAATTCGACGCACAGTGCTGGTCACCAGAGGGGCAGCCAGCAGCACTAGGAGAGGCGAAATGGAACACGTAACTTCGCACTCCAAAGAGCGCACTGCAGAGAGAGAGAGGCCACAACACACACCGCACAGACAGCAGCGACACAAAAAACACTCCGCAATCTCCATTTGCCTAAATCACACAAACACGCAAAGCAAGCTGAAGGTAGGAATGCATACATATGCAAACTCTCCACAATAATTTAGTGACGTCCGCATCACCTGTTTGACCTCTATGGCTAAGTCGCCCCTGACTACATTATTTGAAAGGATAGTCAAGCCAAAATTCATTCATTCAAAAATCATTCATGATTTTCTACATCTCAGAGAAAGTTACATGGAATGAAAATATAATTAAATATACCAAAATGATATCATTTCACCAAGTTATTAGCTAAACATACATCAGAATAATTTACTGTCTGTGTGTAGTTTTCTGCTTATCAAATCAGATGGCCAGCAGTCATATCACCCTGCCACTCACCACTGGCAGTCCACTGAAGCTCAGCAGCTGTGAGCCTGGTCAGTACCTGGATGGGAGACCTCCTGGGAAAAACTAAGGTTGCTGCTGGAAGAGGTGTGAGTGGGGCAAGTAGGGAGCTCACCCTGTGGTCTGTGTGGGTTCTAATCCCCCAGTATATGAATACTATACGGTAAAAAGGCACCATCCTTCGGATGAGATGTAAAACCGAGGTCCTGACTCTCTGTGGTCATTTGAAATCCCAGGGTGTTCCTCGAAAACTGTAGGGGTGTAACCCCGGTGTCCTGGCCAAATTTCCCATTGGCCTTTACCAATCATGGCCTCCTAATAATCCTCTATGAACCGGCTTCATCACTCTGCTCTCCTCCCCTCTGACAGCTGGTGTACTATGGCTGCCATCACATCATCCAGGTGGGGCTGCACACTGGCGGTGGTGGAGGGGATTACCAGTAAAGTGCTATATAAGTGTGAGCAATTATTATTATTATTAAAAGGCAGTGGCTGGGACAATGAAGCCTGTGTGTCCCTGTGTGAACACTAGATGTCACTGTGGTATCCTGGCACAGCTCCAGCACCTGTCTGTTCCATCCAGGCTCAGTCAGAGTCTGCACTTGCAGGAAAGGAGGCTGCCTCCCTATTCTGTGGGATTGGCTGGAATTCAAAAAGCACCATTCATCCTGTAATTGCTCTCTGCTGCAATCAAAGGTGACTGTGCAGTACATTTACACAGAATGCCTTAAATCTGCAATCCATCAGCACTGTGGTTGTCTCGGAATAATAAAAAAATATATCTGGAAATATTACTTTTCTTTCAAAATCGAAAAATTTTAAAAAGCACTTGCTTGCTGTATAAAATGGAAATACAGAAGTACATTTCGGGAACCACTTTGTAGCACACTTTGCTCCTCAGAATTTCTTAATCCAGTAAAAGAGAAATGTTTTATTAACATTAATGTAACATAAGGAAACCCTGTGGCTCTAAATGAGGACAGCTGGAGAGACAGAGAAGCCCTAAACCACAGAGAATGGGATTTTATTAGGGAAGAGAAATCATAATGATTTTTTACTTTTACAAGAAAGATAAAAAATAAATATGGCCCCAAATTAATTTAAATATAACGTATGTGTACATCATAGGTGAACAATTCCGGTCTTCAAAAGCTGAGGTCCCATTTTTTTAAAGGTACTTTTTTTTTCTAATTAGCAACTGATGACTAGAAATCAAAATAAAAGGTGATTTGACTTAAAAAAAATTTAACTCCAAAAATTAGTTCATCTAAGTTATGAAAAGCAGGGGTACAATGAAAAGCACAGACAATTTCACTCTCCAAGGACAGTTACCCTTCTCTTACATACATGCAAGCACTGGGCACACACACACATATCATGCAGAATGCCTGCACCATTTCAAGGCAAAACCTACTTAGAAATTCCTACAGTGCAGGACTAATTGTATAGGAATAATAAAATATTATCCAGCTTGTCTTATACATATTTGCAAGGATCCATACAGCATTTGTCCTCAAAACTTGCAGATTTCTGCAACTTTTTTTTTCAAGAATGCAGGATTGATTCTGTGTAGATATAAAGGCTGCAGGCAAAAGATATTTCTGGCTGCACAGAGGCTGGCGGCCCAGTGCCCTTTGAAAGCATGCTGACTGGATGCATAATCTGTTTTCTCTATTCAATTTTCATAAACAAGATTTCATTAGTGTCTAAACTGTTTGCTAATTCAGTGTGCGCTAGGTCGTGTATAAATTAAAAGGATGGAGGGTGTAGATTACAAGACTCACAATTAGCATATTGCTCTATATGAGGGCATTCTAATTACATTACAGAATGCCCATTTACCTATAAATTACATTTCAATAAACTCCTTCAAAGTGTAAGTCAGAGCATGCGTGGCTTTGTGCAAATACTGCAGTGTGCATATACATGTGTGTATGTCACAGGCCAAGCAAGTGTTTCTATTATCATGAGTGTACGTGAGAGAGCATGGGAGTGTTAGGTACACATCTGTGACTGTGTCCTTGATATTCTGCTTGTGTATGCATGCTTGAAAACATGTCTATCGGAACAGACTGAACACTTAAAATGAACATTGAAGACATCCATGAAACACATTTTAAACTACAGCTTTATGATCCAAACACCCGAGCAACTTACATGAGCTCGTTTTCTGTACAGAAGAATGCACTTCTCATTTTTTACTTTATCCGTTCCTAAGCATGCTCCGTAAAAGTGCAGAGTATGAATACAACGAGCAAAGTCTAACCCTTTCTTAGATTAACTGAATGTAAACATTAAAAATTAATTTCACAATAAAGCCTGGTATGCCATCATCCACATGACAAGATGAATAGCTCTAGTTCAGAGAGCAAGCAAGAAAATCAGTGTAATAGCGTTTCAGATGTAAAGTGGAAGAGGATTTTTCACTGGCACGAACCTATGCCGGCACTCAGTTGGCTCAATTGGTTTTCTGGCAGTTGTATCCTGGGAGGGCACACAGACGCATAGCTCAGCTGCCAATTCTTTATCAGCGTCCGACACACGACACTAATTTATGGCCGTACTAATGAAGTTACCTCCCTCCGTGCCAACTGCACGGTGCCATTTTTGTAAAATGAAAGCACACAAACCCCTATGCTACGAAAACAAAATGTCAGCTGGAACTGCTATTGTGTCAGTCTGTGAAAGATTTCTGTGACCTCTCTCTTCTCCAGCACGCTCAGTGTACTTCAGTGCTTTCTTCTAAAGCAGAAAGAGATATGACCCAGAAGTGGCGATGACTATTTGCAGCACAGTGCCTCACTCAATGTCAATGCTCATGCAAACTGACAATGCTGGGTGGTGTAAATGTAATTCTAACAGGTATCCAGATGCTGCTCTGGGGTTACAAAGGCACAACATCATCAGATTATCCAGTGTATCCACACAATACGATGTGCAACCCCCCTCACATCCTTTATTAAAAGCCCTGTGTTTCCTCACAGACAACACACCTGCCTACCTGTTCACCTGCAGAGTCCGTGCACTCAATCACATTGTCTTGAACATGGTTGGAGTTCCTTTCCATAACCTGTCGAAACAAACACATCATAAACAGGTATACCCAGTGAAAGCTCACACTGGAGCACAGCATTGTTCCAGGACCCCTTTTGGCTTAATACACCCCTTTTTTCCCATCAGGCTGAAAGGCCTGTGAGCTTCAAACGTCTGCCTCATGCTGTAGGACTGACGATCTTCACAGCTTCAGAATGAAGTCAAGGAAGACCATGAAGTCGATACCAACACATGAAACGCCACCAGACCATATCAGCCTCAACAGTGCAAGGACTCTGAACAGGGAATTTGCTTTCTACTAGGGCTGGGCGATATGGCCAAAAACATTATCATGATAAAAGTTTTCATACCAGTCGATATCGATAACTATCACGATAAATGTCAAATCATTATTTCTTTCAAGTTTAAAGGCAGATTTTTTCTCCTGAGTGAAAGTTGAAGAAACCAGACAGTTAACTAGTAAATGAAACAACTTTTTTATTTTAAGAACACAACAAACACTTGCCAAACAGCAGAAACATTAAACAAATCTTGTTAGCTGCCTGGTCTGCAACACGCACGCGCACTCGCGCAGTATTTTGTGCGCATACGCATATCATGCGCAAAGCATAAACATATATATCGAACATTTATTGCACTTTTGTTAAAATTTTATCGAGGAAAATTATATCGCAATAATTATCGTTATCGAATTATCGCCCAGCTCTACTTTCTACTAATACCAAACAGAAAAAAAACAACAACCTACAGTACCTACCATAAATAGTGCACCACTGAAAGCCAAAAATGAACATCCATCAAAGCTCACTCCAGTATAAAAAATATCAATTATTCAAGACCTTTAAAGGACCGGTTTAGACCTACACAAATGAAAAGGCTATTACAATACAGAGCAGGAGTGGAACACAGCAGTAGCCCATAATGCAGCAGCCTTGCACATATTCCCACAGTGCAGTTAAATGTGGGGCTGGAAGGTGAGTGGCACTTCTTCAAGCTGCCCATCTCCTCTCTAAGTCTAATGTGGGTCAGGGCCTCCGAGATCAGGGCTGCCAATTACAGTGGGAAGGTGGGAGACCTTCTCCCCAGCTCCTTAGTGCTACACTTGAATGGTAAGAGAGGCACAGGCTACAACACTGTGTCGCAGTCCCCCAGGGTGGTCATTAGACTATAGCTCAGGCTGTAATGCTGCCTGTGCCTGGGTCAGGGTGTGTGTAACGGGCACGTGTCTGGGGCTTAAGAAATCATAGTAAATAGCCTTCTGTGTTTCCAATATACTCCAGGGTGTTAGGAGCATGTGACTGCCAGTATTCCTGCAGCTGTATATACTGTATAATATTTTATTACACAGAGAGTGCTATATACAGTATGATAGATATATACTAAATGTTTCTAAGGACTCTGACCATGTCCGGCTTTTGTAGGGGTTTAACCACTGTACTCCAGCTATGCACTCAGTCAAAACAGTGGAATCCTATGTATTTCTCTATCTGTGATGCTGGTCACTGTCAAGGTAGAAGTGAGGAGGGCAACTCAAAAGGCAGAAGAGAAGGACAGCATAGGAACAGTACTTTACTGGACAGTAAGGCATAGAGAGCTGTGTGAGTGATGGAAAGTAGGGTTAAGAGGAGCCCTGCTTAGTCTGTCTGATTGCAGCACAGCAATACACTCAGTTGTCTGTCTAATCAAAGTGGGTCAGACCATTTTCATGGACGCATGGATTGGTTGACCCTTGGTGTGGTTTCATGGCTCAGTACCACTGGTTCACATCCAGGACGTTGCATCCATCCAGACATCAAACACCTTGCAACCCTGGTTTCTCCAGTGCTTGATCATCTGTCCACTTTACACAGGCCTTGTTCACTACGGTTAAATCTTGGCTTCTTGTAACTTTAAATTCCATGCAATAGAGGAGAGCAAAAAGGTGTTTGAGACTCATGGTGATTAAAGGTGAGCTGCCTTTCAAATGCCCCAAGAAATTCTGATATTGACTAGAAGCAAAGGAAACCCATGGAACTGTGTGAAAGGCGCTGGGTGTCTTATCCAGTAGCTGCCTGGGCAATTGCTTCAGATTTCAGATTATTTCATTCTGAATCCCGTGTGAAACCCTCTATCGCTTGACACACCCCACCCCAGCTTACCTGGCCTGGGTGACCGCAAGACTGAAATACTGCTCGGACGTTTTGTGTTTTGCCCTCCCTACAAAAAAGCATCCCATCTATCTAATCTGTGCTATCAATCTCCCACTCTGACTCCCTTTTGTTTTCCCAAGGGGTTTCAAATCACTTAACGCTGTAAATGCTTCATTTACAATCCCTGTCACTGTCGGATGGGATCACTCCTCCCTGTGATCGGCTTTTATCTTTCTTTTACTCTCTATGCAGCACTCTGTCTGCATATAAAAAAACTATTTAATTAAGATCTGTGTTATAATGTTCAATAAACAATATGTTTACATGTTATTAATCATGTTTTAAACACATATAAAATATGATGTGTGGATCAAGCTATGTTCAGAATTAAAGGTCTGGTGATTAATAAATACAACAGAAGACAAATAATCTACATTGGAGGTTGGTTATCTTTGTTATCTGTCAATTAATTAACATTTGGTTATTCACCATTCAGACAAAAAAAATCACATAGCCTAAGAAACAAGTCTCCAGTTTTATCATGGAGATAACTGTGAGACACTTCCTTCAAGACACCAGACCATCAGGATACACAGTGCAGCTATTGACAGCACTACGTTATTACTTTGCTTATGTTTATGGTTCTGTGGGCCAGAGAGAAAACCACACACTCAGGCTGGGAGCTTTATGGAGAATGCTGCTCTTATTTTCTGTGACCACGTCAGTTTTGAGAATGCAAGCTCATCTTTACTTCTACTTTTCAGTATGCAATGGACCTCTACTTGCTTCTTTGTGACTGCAAAGTAATTTGACAGTTTGGAAACCTAGTAGAATGTTTCATCCATCCATGCATTCTCTAAACTGCTTTATCTCATACAGGGTCATGGGGAAAATGGCTGACCCTGTGCTCTGACCCCAAGCTTCTCTCCCTGTCGGTGTGTCTCATGGAGAGCAAGCTGGGGTATGTGAAAAGATGAATTTCTAATTGAAGAAATTGTATAGGGCTAATAAAGTGATCTTATCTTATCCCTGCAAGCCTGTCCCGAGTGCAAGGCAGAGTACATCCTGCACAAAAATCCCAGTCCATCACAGGGCAGACAGGACAAACACAGATGCGCTCAAACTCATACTTGAAGGCCAATTTTCCCAGAAGCCAGTTAACCTACCAGTATGTTTTTGGACTGTGGTAGGAAACTGGAACACCCAGAGAAAACCTATGCAGAGAGCACACAAACTGCACTAAGACATTATTTGATGTACAAATCATTTCAGAATTTGGAAGCCTTAGTGTTCACCAGCAGCTCTTTGCATGGAGCATGAAGTCAGACAAAACATGCAAAATCGACTTCCTGCTTTAGAAATTCCTGCTTCAGACCTGGTATAACTCACTGGCAGACTGCCACTCGAACATTAATTGGTTTGTACATGCATTCACTAACAATATGTTTGCATTCATACACACAGAAAATTAAATTATCCTGCAGCACTTGTCCCCACTGTATTCGGATAATTGCTAGCATAATGTACATTTAACTTCCTGCCACTAATTATTAAGCACACACCATTCACAGAAGATGAAATAACTGTTATGATTATGGAATAGTGGTGATAGGTTCTGGTTATCTGCAGTTCTTTTCTTCTTTCTCGTTCATTCGTGAAAATGCTTCAGAGAAAAGTGGAGCCCGAATTATTAAAAGGCAGTAATTTGCATCCGTTTACGTTGAACTTGTGCGGTTGTGTGTTGTTAAGGAGTGGGTAATTAAGCGTCAGAGCTGCATCGTCAAGCCTGTTGTTAAACACTTCACTGTTCGGGAGGGACCCAGTGTGAGATTCCTGTGAACTGAAATGAATGACGGAGCTGCTTTTTGGAGGATGAGAAAAACTGGGATTGGGAATTTCCAAAATGGGACCAAACACGTGGAGACAAAGTGGTCAGCCTGGACTGAACTAGACAAAATAAATGGGTAGAGGCCCTCTGACGCAACACACAGGTCTCACTGAGGACCAGTTTCATTTCCTTTGTGGGATTATTTTTTTCCTACAACAAACTTTTATCTCATGTTAACAGATTAAATTTCACTCCTCTAATTCACATCTAAGACCAATTTGCATACAGCATCCAACCAGCTATTACAAAAGACTTGTGAGCCTACTGCACTGCTACATCAAAATTAAATTTAATTACCAAACCCTGTAATCTACGCAAATTAAGTATCCACTTGGAAATACAACATTTGTAGAAGAAGACCGTCTAATTGCAGTAGTCAACCAGACAGTCAAGAAATTAATTTCCCTCTTGAATCATACCAGCCTGTGCAGGCATACAACCACGCACATTATCACTCCCATCTAAGAGTAAAGTACCTCACTGACAGAGAATGTACACGTGTGTTCTCAAAAACCATTGTCTGGGTTACAGTTACACATTCGAGTCAGTAATGTTCAGCGTTATTAGCATGCAAAATCAATACCTGTCAATAACAAAAAAACTCAGAAAAAGAACAACTACAACAGTGCTTAGGGGCTGTTAAAAAATGGGCTTCTTACTCCAGCCTTGCATTTGTATTTCATGTATTGAATTGTATTGCACTAGTATTTCAATACATGACCATAAGGTCTAAATGCATAAAGATGCACAAGAAAAAAAGGCTTCCAACAGCTGCCTTCTGAGCCAAAAGAAATCGGGAAGTGCAAAGGTTTGTGTGGGGGGCCGAGTGGGTTTTGTAAGCTGCAAAGGAACTAACACAGGCCTGTTCCACAAATGAAAGCAAGGAGGGAAGAAACACTAAAGAAAAAAAATGTTCTATGTATCTCCATAGCCCAAACATTATTTCTACCTTATCAGGATTTTATTGACCTTCATTTCTTCTTTGCAGGAAGTGCAATG